TAAAGTGATTATAGCAATCCCCAGAGTGTAGTTCTCCAATCCTCCAAACATGAGCCGAAACTTCATGAAGGTGCAAGATGATCTCAGAGTTTAATGGTACAGGTTGGATTTTTATACAACTTTTCAGGCCAGAGGAACACCCACTGGACCTGATGGGGCACAGGACACAAATTGTACAGATAGAAACAATGTAACAATGTCTGATACTCCTACATATAGCACACAATCCCTCCCCTTTGTCTGTGTAAGGTAGATAATGTATTAACATAATTATCCCAGATCAGAGCAAGGAAATTCCTGGAAGTCTTATTTTTGACCCACCGTGCACATGGTCCCATGCCCAAAACAGTTCCAGAGAATTAGGGCTAACTTTCTGTCTAGAGTACAAAAGTACATACTTCACATGAACAGAGCCTTTCAAAGTGCATTGGGTAAGGTATATTGCAGGGCCCATAGTCCTGAGGCAATGGGCTGGCCAGCAGGCCCCTCCAAAAACCCTTGACGAGGTTCAGTTTGTCACAGGGCCATAATCACAGGGTAGGAGGCTGGCAAACAGGCCCCTCCAAAAACCAGTGACGAGGTTACTTTCATTACACCCATTACAAAAAGAGTGGGCATCATTACTTTACCCACTACTACGCCTCAGATCTCCGAGGTTCCCAGACGAAGGCGCAATACGATAGTGCAAAAACGCGCGTCGGGCATTTTTAAACGCTTTTCTTTTCTTTCAGTTATTTGGGGCTTCTATGGTGATGGATATTTAGTGTAATTATTTTCGTTTAGAGGGGTAGTTGAGGTGCATATAGATAGCAAGCTTAGTGGCTGCTGCACGGACTTCTGTCTAACTCCTTGAGGCTTTCTATTAGACTTACCTATCTTCTGTTACTTGTAATCTTAGAAATCTTAGGAAAATGTATCAAGGGAACTTGAGGAGCTTTATGATCCACTATATACCGAGTCAGTTTAGTGTACAATCGCTCCATACGGAGGAGTTAGGGGAGTCATGGTATGAGATTGTGAATATTCATACAACAGCTACTTTTCATGGACAGTCTCCATTTATATTAGCCTGGTTTGTACTTAACAGCTATAACTTAAGTGTGTCTGATTACTTGTTCTAAGCACATTATTGAGTATCAGCCATTTAGCCACGGAAACTGTCCTTTCCCAGACAGTTTCTATTTTTATTAGTCTGTTCTGTACCTAACAGCTATAACTTATGTGCAGGGCCGGCGCGTCCATAAGGCGGCACAGGCGGCCGCCTTAGGGCGCACGGGCTCTGGGGGCGCAAGATTTCAGTGACCGGCAGGAGGGAAGCTCTCCCTCCTGCCAGGCCACCATCTCGACCCCCGGCGCAGCGCGCGGCAGTGCTGTGATCAGGCGCGCGAGGGAGCTCTAATCTCCACCCTCTGCTCCCTCGCGCGCTGCCTACTGATGCCGCGGGAGCCGGAATATGACGTCATCAGTAGGCAGCCCGCGAGGGAGCAGAGGATGGAGATTAGAGCTCCCTCGCGCGCCTGATCACAGCACTGCCGCGCGCCTCTCAGCAGCCCCAGCCCTCAGGGACCGATCCAGCATCCACACCAGCTCTCCAGGTAGGGAGGCTGGGTGGAAAATGTTTATTTATAAAATTATTAGTGAATGTATGTGATCTGTGTGTCTGTGAGTGACAGTGTGTGTGTCTGTGTGTGTGTGTGTCTGTGAGTGACAGTGTGTGTGTGTCTGTGAGTGACAGTGTGTGTGTGTCTGTGAGTGACTGAGCGTGTGTCTGTGAGTGACAGTGTGTGTGTCTGTGAGTGACTGAGCGTGTGTCTGTGAGTGACTGTGTGTGTCTGTGAGTGACTGAGCGTGTGTCTGTGAGTGACTGAGCGTGTGTCTGTGAGTGACAGTGTGTGTGTCCATGAATGACTGTGTGCGTCTCTGTGTGTGTCTGTGAGTGACAGCGTGTGTGTCTGTGAGTGACAGTGTGTGTGTCCATGAATGACTGTGTGCGTCTCTGTGTGTGTCTGTGAGTGACAGCGTGTGTGTCTGTGAGTGACAGCGTGTGTGTCTGTGAGTGACATTGTGTGTGTGTATGTGTGTGTCTGAGTGACTGAGCGTGTGTCTGTGAGTGACAGTGTGTGTGTGAATGATTGTATGAGTGTGTGTGCATGTGTGTGTCTGAGTGACTGAGCGTGTGTCTGTGAGTGACAGTGTGTGTGTGTGTGTGAGTGATTGTATGAGTGTGTGTGTCTAAGTGACTGAGCGTGTATCTGTGAGTGACAGCATGTGTGTCTGTGAGTGACAGCATGTGTGTCTGAGTGACTGAGTGTGTGTGTGTGAGTGAGTGATTGTATGAGTGTGTGTGTCTGAGTGACTGAGCTTGTGTCTGTGAGTGACAGTGTGTGTGTGTGTCTGTGAGTGACTGTGTGCTTCGGTGTGTGTCTGTGAGTGACAGTGTGTGTTTGTGAGTGAGTGACTGTCTGTGTGTCTGTGAGTGATTGTATGAGTGTGTGTGCATGTGAGTGTATGAGTGTCTGTCAGTGTATGAGGAGTGTGTTTGTCAGTGTATGAGTGTGTGTCTGTCAAATCAGTGAGAGTATGTTTGTCATTGAGTCTGTGTGTGACTATCAGTGTGTCTGTCAATGAGTGTCAATCAGTGTGGGTCTGTCAGTGTCAATGAATGAGTGTGTGTCAGATCAATGAGTCTGTGTCTGTCAGTGACGTCTGTGTGTTTGTCATTGAGTGTGTGACTGTCAGTGTGTACAGAGTGTAGTGGAGCAGAGCGCGGTACAGGAGCTTCTGTTTCCTGTACCTGGCCAGACTGACAGGAGGTGCTCACAGAGAGAGCACTCCCTGTCAGTCCGTCCGGGTACAGAAAACTGAAGCTCCTTTAGGGGATCTGCTCCGCTCGGCAATGCAACAATAGAGGTAGGAGGCACACACCAGGAAGTGTGACCACTAAAGGGGTGGGGGTGCACCAAGGGACAGGGAGGGAATGGGAGAGAAACACCAAGAGACAGGGAAAAAAGGGGGGAGGGGGAAAGGGGGGAGGGGAGAAGAACACTAAGGGACAGGGAACGGAAGGGACCACTAATGGTCGGGGAGGGGAGAGGGGCTGGTTAAGAGGCACATAGGTGAAGATTTTGGGGGGGGGGGCGGAAAAATGCATCTTCGCCTATGTACCTAAAAATCCAAGCACCGGCCCTGCTTATGTGAGTCTGATTACTCGTTCTAACACGGAAACTTAGCCATGCATGTGGTAACTTCTATAACATTGGTTCTTTACATAAGTTTCACAGGGGTGATACGGTTTCTAACATAGACAGTATTCACTTAGTAAATGTCATGACACTCCTTGATTTGCCCTCGTGCAGTACCCACATTCACCACTATCTTTGTTTGGCACTGTTCCTAATTTCTTTTCTTTAAGCACTTCACCTGGTCCTTGTTTAGCACCTATATAGTTTGGTTTCTCCCCTCACTCCTTGTCAGATCATTGTCTCTTGTCTCCTGTTTCCCCAGTTCCTGGTTCCCTGTGATTCTGGCTCCTGGCTCCTTGATCCTGCATACTGTTCCTTGGTCCTGTGTCCTGCGCCTCCTGGTCTTCGTTTCTGTGTTCTCCTGGTCTTCATCCTGTTTCCTCCTGATCCTGTGTTCCTGTGTCCTCCTGGTCCTTTGTTCCTGTGCCCTCCGATCCTGTGTTCTGGTTCCGTGTTCTCTGCCTTATTACCAGTGATCCTGACCCTGCAGCCTTGTTAATTTATTCTGCTTCTGACCTTACTTCCTGGTGTCAGTATATTAGTCTTGTGACTCTGGATCTGTGCCCTACCTACTACTTGTTGTAACTGCACAATCCTGCCCTTATACCAAAGGACTGTTTCAGTATACGTTGCCTGCACTATTCGTGCTTATCCTGATTTATTGTATATATTTTGTGGTATTGTGTGTATATATATTGCTTTGTTTTGTCTTTTGGTTCTCTGTAATATATATATATATATATATATATATATCTTGATTTACCCTATTCATTTGTGTCTTGGCATTTACATTCCTTTATGGAAAACTTTAACAAATGATATGGAACGGTGGGTCGATAAGCCCATTTCCTGGATAGGGTGGATTTATTCTGTAAAAATGAACATCTTGCCACGACTCCTTTTCCTATTTCAGACGATAGGTAAATTAATATGGCAAAAGAAAAGACATAGGATATCAAGACATGTCCTGTACCACCCGAAAAAGAGAGGCGGACTGGGCTTCCCTAACTTGTTCTTCTATTACTTGGTGGCACAGTTGACACAAGTTGCTATGTGGAACTTCCACCCGGACTAAAGAAAATGGGTGGAAATAGAATCGCTACTGATGGGTGCAGACTTACCCCAATTCACAATTTGGGTCCCCAGAAAAGATAGACCTATGGTCCGTGCCAACTGCCCTGCACTTTTAAACTCTCTTAGACTCTGGGATTCATATGGGCTAAAGTATGGTCTCATGTTGTCCCCTTCTCCTTCTAGGAATGGCAGCCAGGGACTTCAGGAATTTAGAAAGGGCAGGACTTCAGAGGATACACCAATTATACCAGGAAACCAAACTTATTACCTTTGATGACCTCAAACGAGGATGACACCTTACACCAGACGACTTTTTTAGGTATGTACAGGTTAGGGACTTCGCCAAGAGGCGGCTATAAAAATAATGACGTTCTTTGAATGTCTATGCATATCAGATAACAAGCCTACAGGTCTTATAACATTGCTTTATAACCACCTATGCTCAGAGACGGGGGAATGGGGTGGCCTGACATACACTGAACAATGGGAAAAAGACCTGGGTGAGGTATTAGAGGGGGTGGAGTGGCAAGAGATATGGGAAGCTAGCAACAGGTCCTCTGTTTGTGTCACCCTGCAGGAGCAATCGTTTAAGACGATGTTCCGCTGGTACACTACCCCAGTAAATAAGGTATAATATACACAAATCCACCACTGAAGTATACTGGAGGGGATGTGGAGCCAAGGGAACATGCATACATATGTGGTGGGAGTGCCCATATGTCATGTCATTCTGGAGGGCTGTTAGAAACCAGGTGTTCTCTAGGACGCCGGACCTAGACCCATGGGTATATCTACTGAATAGATCCGTCGATGGATGGAACCTACGAGAACAAACATTGATACATAAAATTATGTTAGCTGCACGACACGCTATAGCATACACATGGCTAAAACCAGACTTACCCCACATAGCAAGCGTGATAACTAGAATCAAAGAGATACATTTGATGGATGACCTAACGGCCACCGTGATGGGAACTACTACGGTGTTCCGAAAACTGTGGGCACCATGGGACAGTAGCCCTATGGGCTCCTGGGGAACCTGTCCCCCCCCCACTCGTTCCTTTGCGCGCCCTCCTTCTTCACCCCCCTCCCCAGGCCTCTTTCTTGTTCTTTCTTTCTCTCCATTCTTCTCCTTCCTTCTCAGGCCCTCTTCTACAGGGCACATGTTCAGATTTATGCAACTGTACTTGCTGCTCATGTACCGTACAAACACTCAAAAAGACATGTAACACTGATTTATGCTAATATCAGGATAAATGTTTTTGGCTTAATATAATACTGCAACCTAAGCAAAGAGTTTTAAACTTACTAAATGTCTAACAAATGTTCATGTTCATATGTTAAAATGTGCACTTTTCTCAGACCATGATAAATTGTTCGTATTATGCCACAAAATGTGATAAGTTTGTTTTGGCTATTTGTGCCCTTGTACGCTCTCTGTACAATAAAAATAAAGAATGAAAAAAAAAATGCCTTTCCCATTCCTCTCATCTCCGAATTGTTTGACAGACTCCAGGGTGCTAAAGTCTTTACTAAACTTGACCTCAGGAGTACTTACAATTTGGTAAGTATTAAGGAAAATCATGAGTGGAAACTGCATTTAACACTAGAAGTGGGCATTATTAGTACCTGGTCATGCAATGCTACAGCCATATTCCAGGACATTATTAATGATGTACTCAGGTGTATTTATTAATTTGTCCTGGATGATATCCTTATTTAGTCCCCTGACCTTCAGACTCACCACAAACATGTCAAACAAGTGTTACAAACTAACAAAATAAGCTTTATTGCAAACTTGAAAAATACATCTTTGACCAGACTGAAGTACAGTTTTTGGGGTATAACATTTCTGCCTCTGGTTTTCAGATGGATCCTCATAAACTAGAGGCTGTTCTACATTGGCCATTACCCAATGGACTAAAAGCAATCCAAAGGTTTATTGGGTTTGATAATTATTACAGGAAATTTATCAAAGGGTTCTCTTCTGTGATAGCCCCATCACCAATATGACACGTAAGGGGGCTAGTTGTACGGTATGGTCTAAGGAAACTAGAGAAGCTTTTGAACTCATTAAAATTTTTTGCTTCAGTTGACATTCTGTTACATCCTGACACTAGCAAAACCTTCATACTGGAAGTTGATGCCTCTGAGAATGGGGTGGGGTCTGTCCTTTCTCAGAGGGAGAATCAGGATGCCCCTTTGCATCCGTGTGGGTACTTCTCTAGAAAGTTGTCTCCAAGTTGTAATTATGATATTGGTAACAGGGAATTGTTGGCCATTATACTAGCGCTTAAAGAGTGACAACATCTTTTAGAGGGTTACAAGGACCCCCTTTTGATCATTACTGACCACGAAAATTAAGCTTCTATTGCTGATGCTAAACGACAGGGTAGATGGTTTTTGTTCTTATCTCGCTTTAACTTTCTTATAACTTACAGACCTGGTCCCAAAAACGTGAAAGCAGATGCCTTATCTAGGCAGTTTGACACTGAATCAATACAAGAACAAAAAACATCCCCTATTGTTCCTCCTTGGTGTATCATTGCTTCCACTGTTCTTTACTTGTCATCACCTCTGCTTAGTGCTATCATAGAGGCTCAGTCTCCGGCACCATGCAGTAAACCACTGGAAAAATTATTTGTTCTGTTGGCTGAAAGAGAGAATGTCATGTGGGTTGTAGTGAAACCGACCTCGCCACTGGGCATTGGAGAAGACTGATTGCCAGCCTCCTGCCATGTGACTATGGCCCCTGGGATGTATTGCTCTTTAAAGACATGATTTGGGCATAATGGATTTGTGTTGTGCTGCTGCTAGCCCTTTTAAGAACCATCTGGGGACATACTATGGAGTTACTGGGTGGCCACCATTTCCTGTATCAGAAGCACATGGTGAGAACAATGGATGGCGGCCATTTTAACTCACAGACACTGTGTGGACTTTTCAACACGGTGCCATCTCGCCAGTATTTGTTGCACAGAGACATCGTGCTGTGGTTTTGGACTATACAGCAGGGTCACATTATACAGTGATTGTTTTTTATTTAGCCTGTATATGTTCTGCAGAATCTGCATTAAACTGTATTTTCCAAAGTACTGAATGGATCTGGGTGAATTTTGGATATGTGGTTCACCCAGATCCCCCAGTTCCAAGGATATACTTTTTATGGGGTTATTGCATGTTTTGGGGTCCCTGTGATGTGTTTTATGAAACTGTATTTCTCTGGCTGTGATAATTAGATTACCCATTGTGTTCAGTAATCATATCACAGCCAGAGGGGAGGATTTTGTGTGGGAGTGTCTGGGTGTATTGTATGGATTGATTGGCTGTTTTGTAACGCCCTGTGGGCTGTACTATGTTTGTGGATTGGGAATAAAAGAGACTGTATGTGACAGTACAGGGAGTTCCTGTTTTAACCCTCAAAGTGAAGTGTTGTCTCATTATTGGGGGAAGGATTCATTGTATGCTGTTCCAGTTTGACTGCTAGGAGAGTAAACCTATTCGTATGGTTCCTATTCAGCTGTATACAACATTCATATGCTTGAGAGCATTCATATGCTCCTACGGTTTGGTGGTTGTGGTGTCTGCTGCAGTGCTTGGAGTCCTCAGGAAGTGCTAGGAGCATCCTTTAACGGTGGTACCCAGTCGGGGTGCCAGGTGATCCGTTACATGGGTGTTCCACAATAACATGACTGCTGAGCATCCAGGCGTTAATAAATCCATATCCGCAATCCTGAGATCATTTTGGTGGGATTCTCTCAGGAAAGATGTTAAGGAATATGTGCAGGCCTGTTCAGTTTGTGCAGTTTCTAAAGTTCCTCATAAGCTTCCATGTGGATTGTTGCATCCCCTTCCCATACCATTCCATGGTCCCATTTGTCCATGGATTTCGTCATAGAACTTCCTAGTTCTAATGGCTATACCACCATCCTCATGGTGGTTGACCGCTTTTCCAAAATGGCTCATTTTGTTCCGCTCAAAAAATTGCCATCCTCACAAGACCTGGTTCTTATTTTTATACGTGAAATTGTCCGACTACAAGGGATTCCTCACAATATTGTATCTGACAGAGGTTCTCAGTTTGTGTTTCGGTTTTGAAGGGCTTTTAATAAGCAGTTTGGCATCGAATTGCCATTTTCTTACTCTTACCATCCCCAAAACAATGGTACGGCTGAGAGGGCTAACCAGTCATTGGAATTGTATTTGCGTTGTTTTGTTAATAGCACATAGGATAATTGGTCCGAATTACTACCTTGGGCCGAGTTTGCTAGGAACAATGCTACACATGACTCTTCCGGACATAGCCCATTCTTTGTTAATAACAGTCGTCATCCTACTGTTCTGATGGCTGTTTTTTCTGACACTGCTATCCCTGCTTTGGATGATTACATTACTTCTATTCGTGACCTCCGCTCTCGAAACTGCGGCTCAATTTCATGCTGATAAATGTCGCGGTACCAACCCAGTTTACCAAGTGGGTGAGAGGGTGTGTTTATCATCACACAACATCAAGCTAAAAGTTCCTAGCATGAAGTTTGCTCCCAGATTCCTTTTTTTATATCCTTCGTAGAATTAATCCTGTCTTCTGGCTCTCCCTGCCTCCTTACGTATTCCTAATACATTTCATGTTTCTTTGCTCAAACCACTTATTTGCAATAAGTATACTGTCCAAAGTGCCCCCCCAAATCCCCCTGAAGTTGTTGCTGGACAGGAGGAGGATTATGCTCTTCCATAATCGATTCCAGGTTTTCTCGTGGTTCATTACAATATTTGGTTGATTAGAGGAGGTATGGGTCTGCCAAACGTTCTTGGTTTCCAGCCTCCGATATTTATGCTAGTCGCAAGATTTGTTATTTCCACACCAAGTTTCCCCTCAAGCCTGGTCCTGCCTGCCCAGTGGGCGGTCTTCAGGTGAGAGGTAATGTCACATGTTCATCCTCACCTTGTGGTTTCCATAATGGCAAATGCCTTTCTGGCATTAACGCAGGTGCTACTCAGCAGCCCTGTGCCGGTGTATCTGACTCCTGTGACATGTTGAAGGACGCCGGCCACTGCAGATCCATTCCTATTTGTAACCTCACGTCCGCCCACGGTATTGACGACATCAGCGTGCATGTGACGTCACGCAAAGGACACGCATGCACGTTCTGGGGTCAAAGGCCGGGTACGGCCAATCGGATCTGAAGGAGACTTATTTAAACTCCTTTTTCCTTTTCCTCATTGCCCTGTCGTGGTTTCCCTGAGTAGGTTATCCGAGAGTGTGTTCCTGAACGTTTATTTCTGCTTATTGTCTTTGGCTTCGTTTGACTTCCCTGTATTCTGATATCCTTGAATTTTGGCTTTTCCTCATCGTTGTGTCTCATTCTGTGTCCCCGACCTCGTCAAGTATTCTGACTATCCTCTGGTACGTTAAGTCTGGCTATTTTAAGGCCCGGTAAGACATTACCTTTAGTCCTAGGTGTGATACAGCTCTGCATGTTGGATCAACTAGTATCCTGACACGGAGTAACAGTTTTTAGTGTAGAAAGCCAATATGCTTCACGTCTCAAAAGTTCTTTGTCTCTATCACCCCCTCGATTCAATTTAGGCACATGATCAATTCCCGTAATTTCATGGTGGACAGTTGGTGTTCCACTGTTTCAAAGTGGAGGTACCTCGTTAGGGCTATTCAAGGTTTGTCTTATGGATGCTCTATGATTGGCAAATCTTTCCCTCAGTGTATTCCTTGTCTTGCCAATATATGCCAGACCACACGGGCATAATATTTTGTAGATAACAAATCCAGTGGTGCATGTTATCCTGTTTCAGATTTTGTATTCCTTGCCTGTATGTGGGTGGTAGAATTTTTGCCAGGAAGCATCTGATTACAAGTGGTACATCCCAAACAACAATAACATCCAACATTTCTGGAGTCATTGTTCTTAGCAACCCGGGTAAAT